TGGAGGCGCGGGAAGTTGAGCATCCCTCAAGCATCCTCGCCGCTTAAGGTATCAGCAGCACGACGACGTCGACACCTCGTCTCACCACCTCGGTTACGGTAGCCCAAGCATGAGCATCGACGGAGAATTCCTTCGAAATGTCGAGGTGCGAACCGACGAACGTTTCGGCAACTCGTTGAGTGCACTTTCTATTATTCGCTCCGGAAAACTCATTGGAGTTATCGATAAGGTGGGAACTTTTCGTCTTGACGAGGCAAAGCACCTGCCTGAGATTGTGGCTCCCTGAGAGTATTGATTTGACGAGAGTTGTATTCACCCCGTTTGCAGGAAGCTACAAATGATCCGAATGCTTTGCTTATCCTCAATCTCATCAAGGAAGCGGATGATAAGAACCAAGCCAACATAACTTTGAGACAAATCGACAATAAGGTATGTTCTACATTCTCTCCTAATTCAATTTTGGGCTAGGAGCCAAAACATTATGAGACATTTTAACATTTTTTACGAGAACTCACCATCTAAAAGAAATATGAAAAGTGGTTGAAATTCTCCTATCGCTTTTAAAAACGATATCAAATTTAAAGGTTGTCAAGGTCATTTTGTTTGAGTTTCAGTCTTTCAACCTGTAGTACACCAAAATTTCGAAAAGTCTTGAAAGTAGCATCCTACTATCCTCTACTACTGAAGTTGTAAAATCTTTTCTTTTCCGTTCGTTATATATAATCTTGCAAGACAAGAGGGAAAACTTTCCAAACTTTACGTTGAACGCCAGTGCTCGAAACTTCAGTGATTTGTATATTTTTTTCTGGAGAATGTGAAGTGTGAAGCTCCGCCACAGTTATGTCAGCATAATACTTCGGTTATGTGTTCGTTCAATGGATTTTCTTTCAATTACCACTTTAGACTTATTTGCAAACATCGCGCGACATTGCAACGGGCGAACGACTCCTCATGCAACGTTACAGTGAGCCTGTCAGCGATGATGAAGAAGAAGAGGAAGAAGTGGAGCCAGAAGGCGAAACCGAGCATGGAGACGAAGAGGAAGAGGATAGCGAAATGAAAGACGACCGGTAAGACAGTTT